TATATATATGATTGCTAGAAAGAACTTAACTGTCGCTCTCAAAGTTGTTTACGCTACATTTACATGAAAACAATGTCACACCCTAATTAGCTTGTTATATTTCATGTTTTTCTAGAGTGATCATATGCATTCGTCATGCTTACTTTATGTCTCAATTATTATAGTATTGCAAAACGCTGACAATGCACTATATTCTTGTACGTAGATGGGCCCACATAGCAAGTCATTTGCCCGGAAGAACAGATAATGAGATCAAGAATTATTGGAATTCTTGGATCAAGAAGAAGATTAACCGGAAGCCCTCATCAACAAGCATGATGACACGTCTAACTACAACTTCTACAAGCATAGATCAACCACATTCTGACCATGGGTACAACCCTACCAATTTGAGTTTCTTGAATCAAGATTTGTGCATCAACAACATCAAGCAACCAAATCAAGAAACAGTATTCTCTTCTCCTTTGAGCTCATTATTCATGCTTGACACAAGCGGTTCCGTACTAGAAGGCCACAATGGGGATTGCATTACACAAACCGAGTATTTCAATGACTCGATGTGGCAAATGAACAAGTATCAAATCCCCGAATTGCCCTCACAAGTGCTAAACTTTGCCTCAAATAACAGCATTTATTCAGGCTATTTGCCACCATTAATGGAGAATTTAGATGGCATGGTGCAGGGACAAAATTGCGATTTGAACAATGGGGAAGGAAGAGAGTGTTTAATTCAAAAGCAACATGATTTTAATGAATGGGTTGAGGATCAAACAAATCAGCAATGTCCAAGCTATTTATTTTGGGACGATGAACATCAAGAAGTACAGCTTGGTGGTGAAGAGATTGTTGTACATTCTGCATCAAACATAGGACCTACATTATCTACGTATCCTACATCATTATAGAGATTGCCATGAAAAGGGTTTGACTGTTTCTTCATTCTTTGACTTTTTTATTTTTTTTAATTTTTGTTTTGTTTTTTTGATTGGTGAGAGTTTGCAACGAGCGAAAATACATATGCATGCAAGGATTTCTTTTGGTTATGTATAAAGAATGACATGACAAGAAAAAATTACAACTTACAAAAGTATGGTACTGTATAAACATTATATTAATTTGAACAGTGCAAAATCAATTTCATCATATTTGTCGATTTCATAATTTCAATTGCTTTTATATTTTTTTTTCATTTTATTCCTGTAGATTAGATGTAAGTTACAAAACACATCTTTATATTTTAAACACATCCTTATATTTTATATTCTTTTAAATTTCAACAATTTTATTTGAAATATGCATATAAAAATATATGCTACTAATCTTAAAAAATATATGTTAATAATTTTTCACTTTTAGTTTTACTATAAATTCAAATTCATTTTCAATCAAATTTATTTTTTTACTTAATGTTAATTATATATTTTATTACTTTAAATTTACATTTTTCGGCCAATTTATAATTTTTCTAACTTGTTCTAGCAACATCTATTTTTATACTTTAACCACTTGTTCATATAGATTTGTTTTTGATTTAAATGTTTATGTTCATTTATTTATGGATGGTTTTTGATTTTTTTCCAGTATATATTCTTATATTTTCATATATATATATGTTTGTTTATATTTATTTATGATTATCATTTTTATGTTCGGACTATCTCTGTATTATTTTTTTGTTCAATCGAATAAGACAAGTATAGTCCAAACAAAAAAAAACACATAAATAGTCTATGCAAAAAAAAAAACATAGAAATAGTCGGAAGGAAAAAATAACACAGAGATAATTCGAATGAAAAAAGAGTAAGTATAAACCGACCGAAAAAAACAACTCAATGTCGGTCAAACGATCATTGATACCAACTGAAAAAGTGATGAAAAATTCAGTTGCTCTGATGCCAACTGAAAAAGTGATGGAAAATTCAGTTGCTTTGATACCAACTGAAGAAATGAGAAAATCAGTAAACCTAGATTTGAAGAATCCAAGTATTGAAAATATTGAAACAGAGTTTCAGAATCGTCAAGTGGCAAGTACTGCGGAAAATAAAGAGTTGTGAATCAACCAAGTTAATGATAAAAACGTTTTTGTATGTTCAAGATCAATGATTCAAAAGTCTTTCATATTCATAAAGATTAAGTTACAAGTGTTTGAACAGTAAACACACTAAGATACTCAAATGGATCTCTGAAAACTAGTCTAAACAATAAACAACCATAAATGAACAAGGATGAGCTACTTTATAATGGAACCTAAGGGGGCTATTTATAGGCTTTAGAAAAGCTCATGGCATGACTTAACCAATCAGTTGTTGACACATCATCATGACTTTGTCATTAGTTGACACATTTGCCCTTATTTAATAGAGAATGAATGGAATATTCCAATTTCATTAGTATTTCGTTAGGGTTTCATCCAACTTTTGAGTCTACATTTCTCTTGAGCCTTCTTGATCAATATTGAATATATGATGAGCATCATGTTGCTTCATTGTCTTGTAGAATGTTATCAACTCCAGAAGTGTCATTGATCAAGTTGAGTTCTTTCTTGAATGCTGGAATGTGTCTTGAACTTGAATATGTACAACCACGTGTTCATGATGGACTATTGATGAACTAGATATGTCATTGAGAATTTGAACATGCCATCATTATACATGATGTGCCATGTGCAATCTTGTTGAGCCATCAATGTGATCATGTTGATCCATTGACTTAAGATGAGCCACCAAATATTCATGTTGATCCATCAACGTATTGATGTTCCAGATATGATCTAGATGTGTCATCTGAGATCATGATGGTCCAACTTTCTTTTAGAAAGTGCACCATGTAAGCTTCAAGTGCTCCATGTTCAACAAGTGCTCTAAGTTAACTTCAATTTCTCCATGTCAAATTCAAGTGCTCCAACATCTGATTCTTCAAACACTTGTTGAATCTTCATGATCTTTCTAACCTAAAACATTCTGCTAATGTTTGTTAGAGATATATAGACATAGACTCAACTTATTTCAAGTGACCATTACATACAAATATTTTCCAACAATAGTGAATCATATATGATTATACATGTTTATACATATATGTCTAATCATAAATGATAATACATATATGTCTATTTAAAATGTGATTAATCTTATATGATTATGGTGGTTGGTGGATGAGGTGGTAATGGAAGAGGTAGCGTTAGTAGAGGTGAAGAAGGTGGTAGTGGTAGGATCTGTTGGGAATGGAGGTAGTAGTGGTGGTGGTGGTTCAAAAAGTGATTAATCTTATATAACTGAAGTAGACTTTTGTTGAGTTGTCAAAGGCTCTGTATTTCAAGGCCATGTGTCATGCCTATTACATCACTATTTTAGAAAAACAACTTCTAGTAAGCAATCGTTTTCTAACATGTCAATCAATTAGGAGAAACTCTTTGTTGGGATGCGGTTACGAGTTCTTATGGGAGTCATTTTGAGGTCTTCATATGTATTCTAGATTACTTAAAACTATATTGCAACTGATTGGGTTGTTCAATTGCAAGAGCTGATATTGATGTTTGTTTTCTGTATGGATGAGGCATGAGGTGTGTTAATTGTTGGTATAATTGTTGCTAGATATAGTTTTTAGAGATATTGTAATGTTTGTTATGGGTTCACCATATCAGTTGATTAGTTATTTAAATATTGATATCGACACATGGTTTAAAGTTTAAGGGAAGAGTTGTTCATTTATAGAAGCAACATGTTTACTTGAAGTCGTCAGAATTAAACAATATTGATATTGTATTAATGGACAAGAAGGTATTCATTTGTAATGGATATATTCTTTCTGTTTCGTTTGCTTTTTTTTTTTATAGTTTTTAAGCTATTTTTTTGTGATAATTTCATGGGAAACGTATCTCAGCTACCATCAAGAAGCCTTTAGTTCACAAGTTTTAATGATTGTTGAAAGAGGAGATTGTGTATGCTTTTTAGAATTTCTTTGTTGCTGATAATCTTATGCGTTTAAAAATGGTAAACCACAAACTTCAATTAATTTTCACAAAAACAAATCTAATAAGACCATGACATTTAGCTTCTCCTGTGGTTTCGACTCTTTTTGTTTTGCTAAGTTTGAAGACAATATTTATCGAAAACAAAGTTGGTCTTATACTTGTGTTATATGTCTTGGCATTTTTGATTTACTTGGTGTTTCATTTTGTAGATGCCATTGGTGTATTGATAGAATATACCGACAATATACTAGAAAAATCACTAAACCTAATGGCAAACAAATTTTTTTCTTTTTGGTAATTCTCTGCACAAACGGATGAGATAAACCATGGAATTTTTCGTAGGTAATTTTGAGGACCGAAACCAAGAACTTCAAATGCATAAGAATGTGGTTGTGGTAATGGAGATAGTTGGAGCTGAAGGCGTGACTGTGAGCATTTACATGGATTTACGGTTCCTATATGAAACACAAAAGCTTCGTTTTTGCCAAATTTATCAAGAAATCAAATATGGTTGAATTAACCCAAGTAAATTGGGATTTTGTTAAGCAAAACCAGATTTATCAAGAAATCGGTAAACCCGAAAGCAAAATTACTTGTCCATGTATGTCGCATATGTTTATTTATGATTAAAATGAAAATGACATGCAAAATCAAAATAAACAAAGTCTTTCGTTTGCCTGGTTAGAAGGAGGTAAAATCCCGTCGACCACACACCAATTATGTTGGGCGACGACGCTCGGGTTATCTTGGGAGGTGCTATTAAGTTCCATCCATTTAAGGTTCTTAAATATAAGAACTATAGAGAGATAGTCATGTTTCATGTTGTTGTGTCTTGCATGTGATATGATACAGGTAACAAGGGGCCTCAAGGGGTGAGGATGTCGATGGATGCTATAATATATATGAAAGGGTAGGTAGGACCCATATCTACTAAACAATTTCTTTTAATAATTTAATACTAAATAAAACATTAAAATAATATATAAGGGTATACTGGTTATTAAATCGATCAGAGACCAATAACGCAACAATATCAAAACACAAGAACGATCTCGGTTAAAAAAAAATAGGTACCAACCATGCAAATTACCCCAAACCACAATTATATATAGGGTGCTGAAACCTCGATTACGTTGGGCGTAAATCTAGGTACACTGGGCGTATATGCGTGTCACGATCTTCAAAAATTCATAACTTTCGCATACGAGCTCCGTTTTCGACGTTTTTTATATCCACGCGTAGGTGAGATTATGCTCTACAACTTTCATTTAGACTCCGTTGGCTAATTTTGAATTTATTTTTATTATATTATTTTTAGTAGGCTGCGATAGGAAAATTCCGTTATAAATTCATAACTTCTTCATCCGACGTCCGTTTTCGTCTGTCTTTTTACCGTTGGACTACTATCAACAAGATCTTCGATTTTTGTTTAGATTTTTTCGGCTAAAAACCGCTCGATCTCAATTCGAGTATTCAGGCTGCATACCACTAAGTCAAAACTTAGAAAAATCATAACTTCCTCATACGAAGTCAAATTCGGACGTTCTTTTTATGCACGCTCATGGTTTAACGAAATCTACGAATTTTGTTTAGATTTCTAAGGCTAAATATCAATCTAACGTAAATTCACTTTTTACATCATTCAGCGTCGTGTCGGTTCTGTCACGAAACTTCGACAGATCGTAACTTCTTCGTTATAACTCGGATTTCGGCGTTCTTTATATGTATGGAATCCTTGTAATATATACTAAAATTTAGTTAAGATTAATCCTTCTAAATAATCTTCCATCAAAAAGTCATTTTTTATGTTTATCGTCTCTAAATTGATTAGCCCGGATCTACGGATGTTACATATATTACTATATGTCCTCTTTGAATCGGGTCAAACAGTATTCAATCATCTATGTATTTTCTTGGTACATTGATTTGACCATGAGAACATGAAAATAGAATGTAAAGGTTACGATTATGAAAAAAAAAAAAGAAATAAAACATCAAAGTAACTTACCAGGCTTTCCTCCAGACAAAATAGGACTTTCAGTAGGCTCAACTCCATAAAGTTGATGCCAAAAATAAATTAATCAATTAACAGTGCTAATGTTGAACTTATCAAATTAGTTCTAAAGAAGTAAACACAACTACTAAAAACCTGTA